AAAGGTCTGGAGTGATAGATAAGCACTGAAATATATGTATATTCTGCTGATGAGTCTCAAATAGGACGAAACGTGTGTCACAGATTCCACTTCTAATCACTATCCATCTTTGATTAAAATGCTTGTGAATTATGGCAATATCGAGGCACTACGCACAGTATGCACATATGGCAATATGAGAGATTGATCAATTGCAGTGATATATGTCAATTAAAAGTTTCAAGTATATAATTATACTAAGTGAATTTAAACTTCATCCAATTGCACAAGCAAGTGTCTATAAAGGCTCAGTAACTAAGTAAATAACATGATTGCATATAAATTGAGCAGTATTGGGTTCGAGTCCAGGAGTGAACATCAACTCTGATATTTAGATACATCTAGTTGATGAGTTCAAAATAGGACGAAACATGTGCCCTGTATTCCAATCCTACCTACTATCCATCTTCACTTAGAAAAAGAAACAAAACTTTGACCATAGTGATGATTGATTTTTTTTGTTATTTTGTTTTTTGTATCCTGATCAATATTATTACCTTATTTTGTTACAATATCTAATTAGATGATAGAAAATGTAACAGTTAAAGACATCTGAAGTCATTTTTAGTTAATTAAACGATAGAATCATTGATCAATAACCGATACTGGATTTACTTTGTCTTTAGAATTGAGCAAATACAACTAAAGTTTAAGCAACCAGATATCAAGAGGACTAAGATGAGATATAACGTGGTCGGAGGTAGACTTCTTTAAGTCTACATGAAGTTTAAATAGTTAGATGGTTATATCTTAGATTATAAAGGTGAATAATATGGTTCCAATCTCAACAAGAAACATCAATTTGTAGATACACCTTACAGATAACTATCAATGGATGTAGTGTTCGATGTGTTTTTTAATGATGGAAACAATGAATGATGTTCATAGACTGAATGAATGATGAGTAGTATGTATTTCATACTAAACGCTCTCTATTCTCATCCTTTTGTGGTTGATTTTCTCAGCGATCTGTCATCAGACATTCTATTCCCGATTAGTGATACATATTACTTATATCTGTTGATATTAGTAGCACACATCACACTATAACTATTGACCTAACCGCTTCAAACCTACCAATTATGGAACTCTCCAGTAATGCATATCCACATACCTACTCACAGGATTCAAATCCAGAGTCTTCAATCTCACACACGAACACTTAGCTTCTATAATCACTATGTCCACATTCAACTGTGTTAATATCTAATCTCAACTAATCCATTGCTGAAGATATCTATACTAGAACAAAACAATCATCCAATTCTTTCAAATTGTCAATGATGATCTAACATCAATCGATTCATGATCTTTATCAAAAATTAAAAAAATTTAGGTAATTGGGTCTGTTTGTTTGTTGTGGTTGTTGTGGATGTTGTTGCTTGTACCTCATTCAATATTTGCATAGATAATTAAGATAGGTGTTTTTTTTTCAAACCCCAACCCCATTCTAGACACATATATAAAAAGAAAGAGAATAGTCCATGTTACCTATTCATTGGTCATTTATATATATATATATCCAACTTTTAAGTATCATATATATTTCTATGACAGATATAATTATTGCGTGATATAACTCCAACAACAACAAAAAAGAAAAAAAGAAAACAAAAGAAAAAAACGTTATTTTGGCATGAACCACATGGTGAATAGTTTCATCTTGTCTTTCGAATTCATTATTACCATTATTAATTTCATTCATTTATTCTCTATATATGTCTTGTTGCTACAATAGCAACAATAAGAATAACAACAACAATAACCGAAACTGGAAATTTTTAATTCCTACATTATTTTCTAACTAAAATCAATTAATGTATTCTTTCACTCTCCCTCTCCCTCTCTCCCCCCTTCTCGCTCACTCTCTCTCTCTGAAATTTAGTTAACATGCTAGAAATATTGATTCTATTCCCATCTATCCCACCCCACCCACCCTATACATTTTTTAATACCATGTTTATCTATACCTATATATGTTATATATTGTTGCTTAGTGATTGAAATATGAATAAATTTTAGATTTTTCAATGTTTAATTATTGACTTTTTGACAATTTCTCAATCTTTAGAAAACATATTCCTGTGAACCTTAAAATGAAAATCAATAAGTTGGTAATAAATAAGAGACTGTTTATGGAAGATCAATTCATTCCCTTACTCACACACTCACTAACCCCTACACACAATCTCCCGCTCGCACACTCCGTTATTCATTCAAACACTCACTAACCCCCATACACACTCACCAACCCACACATTCACTCACTCAATCATTCACTCACTCACACTCTCACACTATCACACTCTCACACTCATTATTCACTCACTTGCACAAACGCTCGCTCTCACTCTTCCTCACTCACTCACACACTCACCAACCCACACACACACTTATTCACTCAATTAGTTCAATGTGTGCTATTCTTATTCTTTATTTCTTGATAAGATCATTTCATGAAATAACAATCAATCAATCAATCAATCAATCATTAATAGATCACGTGTAATCATTCATTAAAATTTCTTTTCTCTTATTCCATATTCAATATTTCATTATGATAAAGAAGAGAAAAAAATAATAATTTCTTGGCCTTGATAATGAATTTGATAACAAAAAAAGAAGCAAATAAATAAATAAATTGAGAAAAGTTCTGTCACGTTTTTCTTTTTGTTTTTTTGTATTTTTTGTGTTTTTTCTTTTTTGTTTTTCATTTTTTCTTCTTTAAATAAGTTGAATTTTTTCTGTTATTGATTTTTTTCTTGAATTGAATGATTAATCGATTTGTAGTTGATTTTGTTGTATCTTGATGAGTATATGGGGGGGATACTAACTATTAGTAACTATTAATGATATATAGATATTTCTTATTGTATAACCACTTAGAGTAACTAAGTTATGTATATTCATATTAGATTTATAATAAGCTTTCATTTGATCTATGAACTATTATGATATGGATTTATTGTTCTTGAATTATGCCTAGTTGATACATTTCAGTCTTCAACATTCACAGACACTTTTGGCTAGATCTTGTACGAATGTTATTTCCTAGATTCTGGTTCGATGTGGTCTGTTTGGTTGGTTTAGATTTACTTAGTATGGTTGTGTTATAACTTGTAAATCGAATGCTATTTGTTTATTTGGTCGTCGCTGATTGTTATGTCGGAATCGCTGATCATTAATACTCGGAACGAGGGAACTTAGCAATTCCTTTGACGCAAAAGTAACAGCACAGAGACTGGTATAAGTGGAATGTCTATTAACGCCTAAAACACGACGACGATAAGATAAACAAGTAGCATTCGATTCACAAATTATAACAATTGGCGATGGGGATTTTGGAAAATATTAACAAGGTATTCTTTTAAAAAATGATTGGATGAAATATCTTCAGCTCATTTTTAGCCTCATACAGCTTCCTCCAGTTCACCCGTGATCCGTCCTCACAGTTTGTAATACATGATTCTCACAGTACAAGCTGTTAGTGACATCCTGAACTTGAGAGGCAGACAACGCTAATCAGGAAGAGTGATCGATAAAGATTCTAGATTGCTTGTACGTCATAGGTTCAATCGATAATTCATTGTTCACTAATTGATGGTATCATTACATTAATATAAAAAATAATAAGTCATAAGTTATTCGTTTGTTTTCAAATCTAATTCAATATTCATTAGTTTGAAGGTCATCTTGTTGTTGACCTTGGGATTAATGATCACTTCAAAGGACTGATATACAATTGAATATTGAACCTATTCATTATAGTATAAGTGGTATGTTTATTTAAATCATTGTTATAAATGAAATATATATATATATATATATATATATATATATATATATATATAGGTGTATATTACATTTCATTGATACTTTCGAAATAGATTTATGAAGGTCTAGTTTGATGAAGTAGTTTAAATGATTATGATAAAATGTGCTTGTCATAAAGGTTCAGACAACAACAAAACATTAAAACAAATTCTGTTATTTAATAAGTGAATTTATGAGTGAAGATAAGCTAGAGAAAACATGGAAAACCTGGAAATACTGGACGTCCGTTTCATCCTAGTTTAGGACTCTTGAGTGGCAGTGTGTATCCATGATTAAGTTTGCGGGGCTCGAGCCTTGGACCCATCGGTCTCGCGCGCGAACGCTTAACCTATAGACTACTGAGCCCACTGGCATTCAACGGTGTTAATGTCTTAACTCAATATATCCATGAATGGCTACACAACCATTCATCCATTGTCTGAGATAGATACCTGTTTTTACTCAACACAGATTAGACTCCACTGGTTATTGCTTGTCACTTCAGGAAGTGATCTTAAAGTGAATCACTAGTGAGTGCATGATAATTGTTATCAGAATGAGGTTTGTACAATTTGTAGTAATTTTATTAATTGAATTCATGAATCGATGTATGCTAGACCAATCATGGAAAACCTGGAATCACTGAGTGGTCATTTCATCCCACTATAGGACTCTTCAGCAATGAGAATCTATGATTCCACTCTCGAGGTTCGAACCCAGGACCTATAGGTCTTGTGCGCGATCGCTTAGTGTGCATAAATAACACTGTATTAACACGAACCCATTAATTTCAGCTCTCATTATAAACAAGGCACGTACATATACATATATATAAATGTAAAATGACCTTATACCATATAAGAGTATACTATCTTATAACCTGTATACATTAGTTGGGTCATGGTATTTTGTGCTTTCCTAATAGTAGACATGAATTACAATCGATTTAAGCTGAAAATGTTTTCGTTGATTGTTCACTTAAAATTCTCTATCTTATTCTTTTATCCATTTCATTTCTTCACTTCTTAAGCAATCACATTCATTCATATAAAGATCAATGAAGTATGCCATTTCACTATTATCCAATTATTTTTAATATCATTTTCTTACTACTTAAATCATTTATAAGTAGTTATCAAATCCCAATAATGATTTATAATCTTGCTGATGAAACACCAACTGGTTCATTAATTGGTAATATAGCAGAAAATTTATCTATAAATTATCTAAAGAAATATACCTACTTATTAATTACATCAATCAAATTTCAATATGTAAATGATTACATAAAGATTACATCTAATGCTGATCTAATCACATTACGTCACATTGATCGGGATAATACAAATGATATATGTGGTCCATTAAATTGTTGTACATTAACTGTATGTCAAATTGAAGCGAATAACATTCTCACTAAACAATGGGAACAAGATTTCAATCATGTGAATCATTCAATAATGAAAGATAATCGCCTTACTGATGAAGATGAAGAAGTGTTGAGACGAAACTCGATAACATTGAATGAATCTAATCAACAAACAATTATACGTTTATATATACGAATTAATGATGCAAATGATAATCCACCACGTTTTATGTCAACTACGATGATTAAATATGATCCATTAAATGTATCTCAACAATTATATAATAGACCATTTATTATTTATATCCGAGAAGGTGATACAAGTGGATTTGAAGGTTTACCTATTGCTTCCGATGCGGATTCTGAAGTAAATGGGATAGTCACATACAAACTGGTTGAACATACAAATAATGGAGATCCTGTGAATGAATCTCGTTTAAACATTAGTATAACATATGATAATATCAATTCAATCAATCCAAAATTAATTCTCCTAAGATCATTAGATTATGAAAATCTAGATGATCGTGAAATCTATGCAACATTCTATGCAATTGATGGTGGTGATCCATCTTTAACTGGTTCACTATCAATTATAGTTCGACTATTAGATATCAATGATAATCCACCTATTATTAGACAATCTACAATGATTGACCAATCTATTATATTACCAGAGAATACAACATTAGATGATAAACCATTCTATATAGTGAATGCAACAGATGCTGATTCTGGGGATAATAGTCGATTAGTCTATTCATTTAGTCCATTAGTCAATAGTTTAATTCCATTGAAATTTCATATTGATTCAAGAAATGGTGCTATTACAATACGTGAACCATTAGATTATGAAATCTATTCTGAACGTCAATTTCTGTTACCGATTATAGTCAAAGATTGTGGTAGTCCACAGTTGTCAACCACTACATCCATTTCTATACAGATTAAAGATATTAATGATAATATACCAACATTAATTATACAAGAGAATATTACTATACCTGAAGGACAATTATTTACAAAACCAATTATACGGTTTTATATTAAAGATGAAGATGAAGTATCACATGGAAAAGTAAGTGATTTGATCATAGTTACTCCACATGGAGAATAGGTTGCCGACTAGTATTCATTCAATCTAATCTGTACTGGGTCTTCTTTTCTAGTTCTGTTCAATTATTGTTTATTCTTCTCATGTTTGTCATCATTTCTCTGCGTTATGTGTTCTTTAGTCTTCCTATTCTCCTTTAACCTTGAGGAGATCAAATGATGACTTAGTTTGTGACGTAGTTGGATGCTTACCTCAATACATGTAGCTAACAGATCTTTCGTAAGAATCTAGTTTGTTCTCTCCCGTAGTAGGTTGTTATTGATAGTGTCTAGTAAATGGATCTGGATAACCGTTAATAAACACTTGTATCTTATGGATGATAGCTCCATACAGTAAAACTGTTTTGATATTAACCATAGTGATGAGACTATGATTTATGAATGAATCAATCAAGTATAAGAATTCAGATCTTTGCATGAAATTCACTTATTCATTTGGCTAAATAGATTCATGTCATTATAGTTGATGTTAGTCCATGATGAAAATCCTCCACATACAATTCTCAACCTTAACCTCACAGTAATTTATAACTCTCATTTGCTCCTAGTCATTAGGTAGATACATTCTCAATGTGAATCTGGCGTCTCTCAAAGGTCGTTCATAAATGATAGTGTCATTCGTTCTTTGGACAAATTTATCTACTCGAATCTCCAGTACTTTCAGGTGATATAAAAAAGAATAACGATTAAACGCAACTATTCCATGGAATCGATCGAGGTTGAGTTCCCCATCTCAAGGTCATGTTGCGTCTACTCTAAAAATTGAAAATTAAATTCAGCGATTAGTTACCACGTATATTTTTAAATCGAAAATTGTGATATTGATATTAAGTTACTGCACATCAAGAATATTTCATAGTGTGAAGATGTATAAAGAAAGATGCATAGTGGTTAGCAAAGGAATCCAAAACACGCGTTTCGTCCTATATGAGACTCGTCAGCCACTATCCATCTTTGACTAAAGTATTTATGACTTAAGGCAATGTCGAGGATGCAGATATGCTAATAAGAATCACAGTGCTAAACATCAGTGGAAAGATTCAAGTAAACAAAAATACCAAATGAATTTTAAATTCACCCCATTGCACAAGCACAAGTGACTATCAAGACCCACTAGCTAAGTAAAAAATGCGATGGCGTTTGGAGCGAACGGTACTGGGTTCGAGTCCTGGAATGAACATAAACTCTACAATGCAGGTATACCAAACTAAAGAGTCACAAATATGATGAATCGCCTGTTCTGGATTCCACTCCTAGCCGTCATACATCTTTGCATATAATGCTTGAGGCGATCCGTACAGGATGCACATATGCTGTAAAAAAATACTAATCAGTTGCCGTCCTAAACAACAATCGGAAGATTCACGTTAAGAATATCAAGTGAATGTAAAGATAGTTGTAAAACTATTTTTACTCATATAGAAAATCTAGACAGAAAATGATTTTTTGGTTGTATGAATGAATCCTTCAATTGAATAACAACACCAAGTGAATTTAAACTTCATTTTATTGCATAAGAAATTGACTATTAGAACTCAATAGCTCAGTGTATAACACAATGGTGTTTGAAACGATTAGTACTAAGTTCAAATCCAAGAGTAAACATCAATTCTAAAATGCAAATGTATCTAGCTGATGAGTCCCAAACAGGACAAAACATGAGTCAAACTAGATTCCACTACTAGCCAATATCTATCTTTGAATATAATCAATATATTGATTGATAATATAACAGCCAATAGGAATTCAATTCATACAGAATGTTCCATAATATAAATGACATGAGTATTTCAATACTTTTCTCTTTATTAATTAATAAACAAAACAGAGAGAGAAAAGAACAAAAAAAAGATAAACAAAAATTAATTTACAAAAAAATCTTTTTTTCTTTTTTTCACAGTTGAAGTTAAAACAAAATTGATAAAAATAAATAGAGATAAAATAGGGGTGGTGGTGGTGGTAAAAAGGGGGAAATAGAAAACTAAAGGTTGTGTGAAATTCCATTTCTTTTCTCTTTTGTTACTAAAGGAATCTTATTGTCCTCCTCCCCCTCCTGCTTCTTCTTCTTCTTCTCCTTGTTCTTCTTCTCCTTCTTCTTATTATTATCAATACTGTTTCTTTTCTTACCTCATTTGTTTACAAAATTTTACTTATTTATTTATTTGTTTACTTTGCATCGTTACACTTTGTATATAAACGGAATTCCATTTGAGAGAAAAAAAGTTTAAAAGGATAATTAAAACAACATAAATGAAATTGTATGTGATGAGGATGATGGTGATGGTGGTAAAAAGTGATGGTTGTGAGAAATCTGGTGATCCATTGAAGTGAAGGAAATTCAATGAATCAATGAATCAATGAGTTGACATCAAAACGATCGACATCTTTTGTTATTTTTGTATGCTTTTAAGTTTAGAGTAGAATGATTTTTATTTCTTTGGTAATCTAATGGATTCATTGAGGGTGAGGGTGAGGTGTGATGGGGTAACAGAATGAGAAAGTATTAGAGGTGTGGGTGTAGGGGGGAGAAGGAAAGATAAAAGAAGAATTTCACATTGATTAATTCTTCAAATAAGAAACATATATTTACTATTAATTATTTATTTAATAATAAACATTGAACAATTTGCACCTAGAAAAACAAAACTTTGATCAGAATATCTTCTTAGAATATAGAGCTGACATACTGCTGACGAGTCCTATAATAGGAAGAAACGGCCGTTCAGTAATTTCAGGTTTTCCAGCTTCAAATGACTCATGATTTCAAGCATTGAAATTACTATAATATCTACAAAATCCGCTTCTGATATGAATCGACATATGCTCATTAGTGACTGGCTTCAAGAGGTATAAACTGGAGTTCTAGTGAGAGGCAGTGGCCAGTAGAATTCAAACGGATCTGTTGTGAGATAGTAACTCAATGAAGACATTGGTGGATGGTAGCTCAATCTCGTGGATCACTTGAAGTTAGGCATTAATAGCGTTGGATGCCAGTCGGCTCAGTGGTCCAAGGGTCAAGCGCACGCGTGCGAGACTGTTAGGTCTTGGGTTCGAATCTCGCGAGAAGAGTTCCTGGGTGCGCACTGCTGAGGAGTCCCACAATAAGACGAAACAGCAGTCCAGTGCTTCCGGGTTTTCCATGATGGTCTAGCTTTAATTGAATCATGATCTCCATCCTTGAAATTACTATAATATCCACAAAACCCTTCTGATATTTGTATAATTTAGTTTCTTAGATCTTCCGGTGAGACTATAATCTTTAAACGACCTTTGAGTGACGCTAAAGTGGCCTTAAGAATGTCCACTTACAGTGCTAGGGTTAGCATTGCAATTGATCAATCTCTTAGTGACATATGTGCATACTGTGCACATGTAAGTGGCCATCAGGACTCAATATCTAATTGGATAACACGATTGCGCTTGAGGCGAACGGCACTGGGTTCGAGTCTCAGAGTGAACATCAACTCCGGGATGCAGGTATATCCAGTTGACGAGTCTCAAATAGGACAAAACGCGTGACTTAGATCCCAATGAAGCCATTATCCATCTTTTCATAAGATTGATATAGAATTACACTGTGAAATCCAAAACTTGTTATCGTAAATCTGAATAGTTTGTCCATAAATTATAGTCTCGTCAATTTTTTGTTGTTGGTTAGTATCATCTCCTATCTAAATTGTAGATACACCGTATTTGACTGATACATTCCACCTTGTACTACCTACAATCATTTAATATCAAACTAAAATACTCTGTGTTATCTATCATCTTATATTTGAACAAGATATATAGTATCTATGACTGTATAAATGTTGACAACTCCACCTGTAACTCGTCTAAAGCTGTTATCGATCCGAAGCCCACACACAAAAAAGGGGAGGAGTGTTAGATATAGATTAAGTAACCCCAACCCATAGAAATTAACTTTGCCAAAAAAAGAAACTTTAACCAGAATAAACCATACATGTGAACAAAACGAATCGAAATGACAGCTGTTTTGATCATTTATTGATTATCATTATTATTTCTCTTTTTATTTTTGGAAAATTTTAAAACTAGAAAACAGACATTCAGTTTAATAAAAGTTCCCAATAGAATATCAACAAAATATAAGGTGGGGGGAAATTGTATGACTTTCTATAGTTGTAATCACCCCATGTGTAAGAAGTATGAAATTGTTACTATTCGACTTGATGTGGTTGTTTTGGATATTGTAGTAATATTGGCTCAGTGGTCTAGAGGTTAAACGTTCTCATTTGAAGACCGAAGGTCGTTGGTTTGATTCCTGTGTACGCGAAAACCAGAGATCCTGGATGCAAATTCTTCATGCAGGATCGTGAATGTGTAGTGAGGAGGAGTACCTATACTAGAACGAGACAGCCATCCAATGATTCCAAGTTTTTCTAACTTTAATAGGATTCATGAATTCAACTCTTAAATTACCTACAATCTCCACAAAACCCCATTTCGGATAGTAATTATCATGTGCTCACTAGTGGCTGGATTCAAGATGGATTTTCTGGAGTTCTAGTGAGAAAGCGTGACTAGTGGAGTTCAACCGTGTGTGTTGTGAGGCAGCAACTCACTAAAGACTGGTGGACGGTGGCAAAATTTCGTGGATTAGTTGAAGTTAGACATGAATACTGTTAGATGCCGGAAATACCGAGCTCGAGTCCCGTGTGCGGGATCTTGAATGCACACTACTGAAGAGTCCCATACTAGAACAAGGCGGTTGTCCAGTGATTATATGTTTCCCGCTGTTGTCTTGTTCCTTATTCTGAATAAACCTGTCTATTAACTACTGATTATCATTGATTGTTAAGAATGATAGCTTTGTGGAAATTATTTCATTTTTAATACTTAGCTTTACTCAAAAAAGATCTGAACAATTGATTTATCCTAGTACATGACCACAAATCATCAATATGATGTCATGAGCTGTCATTAGGTCGAACTCCAAAACATCAGATAACCAAGTGATTCACTTTGTCTTTAAATGATTGCAGTTAACATTCAATCAGATGGAAACAATTAGCTACCGTCTATGGTAATGAATTACTTATTTAGTCAGAAGCATATTCACCATGAAATCTTATAGTTAAGGATCTGATTTCCAAGGAAATATTTGAAATCAATGTAAAATGTACCACAATCGTTCTCGAATATGTTTTTGCAGTGTTCCTTTTGAATTCATCATTTATTGATTTGCTTGTATCTTGCAATTGTTGTTTAGGACTGTATTTGATCAGTCTTTTATTGACATATATGTTTACTGTGTGGATTGTCATGATATTGCGATTAGCACTGGAGCAAACAGTACCGGGTTTGAGTCCCGAAGTGAATATCAACTCTGAGAAGCAGATACATTCAACTGACGAGTCCCACGTGGGACAAAACGCATATTCTGGTCACTAACCATCTTTGTTTAAAATTCTTTTGAACTATGGCGTTATCAACGGATGTACATATTTTAATGAGAGACTGATCAATTGCCATCCTTAACAACAATGGGAATATTTAAGTAAACAAAAATACTAAGTGAATTTTAACTTCACTTCATTACACAAGCACAAGTGGTTACCAAGACTCAGTAACTAAGTGGATAACATGGTGACGTTTCAACCGAACGGTGCTAGGTTCGAGTACTGGAGTAACATATTAATCCTAGAATACAGGTACATTCAGTTGTCAAGTCCCGAATATGACAAAATGCATAAAAAATTTATCATCAAAATAGAAATTCAACCTAAATTGATTGATCACTAGGTGGTGATCAATGTCATGTATGCCAAGTCCTTCTTAGCGCGAATCGAATGCTATAGACCAGGTTTCAATTTTGCTACTAGTTTTGGTGATTCCACATTGCGTGCACTATGTTGAGATTAGATGGTGCTTGGAGGTACTCAACAGGAAACAGTGAACCTGCGTTTTGTGCTACTTGGCACTCGTCAGCAAGGTGTATCTATAATCTTGAAAGAACTGGTGCTCCATGACGGCCACGTTGCAACTTGGTCTATAGTATTTGATCTGCATTACGAAGAACTTGACACACATGACAATGATCACCACCTAATGATCAATCAATTGTGATTACACCTCAGTCCTACTGGAGTTCAATCGCGGTCCGGATAGCCTACTGGTAACGTCTCTAAATGTGAAGCTGGATGGTACGGGGTCGAATCCGTCGAGGAGCACCAGTTCCTCCAAGAGTATAGGTACATCTTGCTAACGAGTGCCAAATAGCCCGAAATCCAGATCCAGGGTTTCTTGTTGAGTACCTACAACTACTATCTAAGTCTTTCAACCTATTAATCTAATATTAATATAATAGATAAATTGATTCATATACAATTTGATCAATACAATGTACACTTTTCTATCTGGAGAATGTGTATCATGCAATAAACTAATCACTTATTTGATAAACGTGATTGATGATTCTATTAATAGAAAACCAAGTAGAAGACGGAGAGGAAGAATAAGGATAAGAAGAAGAAGACAAAGTCATAAGAATAACACAGATGACCGGAAATTGTTTACTTAATGAGAAACAAACATTTGTAATAAGAATGAATGAAAGTATTACGAAACTAATTAAAACTTTTCCTTTGTCTATAATAAAATCGATACAAATGAAAAGAAGTTTACATGTTAGTCGTTGTTGTCATTGTGGTTGTTGTCGTTGTTTTCTAATAGTTTCGAAAGAGGATAAAGATAGAATAACAATGTACACTTATGATCTTGCCGGAAGTTGGATCTAAGATATTCAGTTCTGATTGCTGAGTGCTTCACTTGTCTGTTTGTTTGTTTGTTCTTTGAACTCATCGAGTTGATTTCTTGTGATTTACACTTTTAGCTTTTGTTAATTAACAAGGAAGATGTATTAGAATCACTTGGTATTGTTTACATGAATCTTCCTATTGATGTTTAAGAGTACAATGGATCAGTCTCCTATTGGCATATTGTGCATATTTTCTGGATATTGCATCATAAGTTTGGATGGATAGTAGCTAGTAGTGGAGTCTATGACGCACGTCCCAGGATGTGGATTCCACTGTCAGCCACTATCCATGTTTGTTTATTATGTATACTGAGAATAGTGCTTAGTAACTATTGGAATCTGTTTATGGACTAAGATGATACATATATATTCATATTGTGTAAATTGTTAAGTAACCAAAATGTGCATATTCATATTTCCATTTTTATAAGCTTCATTTTGACCCATAGATCATTATTATACAATTTACCATTCTTGAGTTACGCCCAGTCTATTCATTACAGTCTCCTACATTCACAGCCACTTTTGGTTAAATGTTCTAGAAATGTTGTTTTCTATTTTATGATACAATGTGAACTGTTTTGTTTGTGTATAAACCAATTATGTTTATATCGCAGAGGATGAGATTTGTTTCCTGAACTCAATTAGCATGTAGGGCTATTCAGGAAGAACGATGGTTTCAGAATATAAACTACTCGTACGGGTTTGTGTGTCATTGGTCCGGTTGATAAACCACTGTTCTCTAATTGACGGTATCGTTACATCATACATTGATAGGAGTACAGACCTACAAGTTATAAAAACTGATATCCTATCTGCATCAATGGTACTAACTGCAGTTATATTCAAACCAAGAGAGCATCGCCAAAGAATCTTGATCGTTTGTACGGGTTTACGAGTCGTGGGTTCGGTCGATAAATCACTGTTCTCTAATTGCCGTTTTCATGACGTTTACATATTATTAAGTTACCATCAGTTGGTCCCAACATACACAAGCGGAAAACCAAGGTCATCTAATACGACACGGAAAACACCACTCCAATCACACTTGATGACGAAACTCTGGAAGATGTAGAATCCTTCACATACCTGGGAAGCATTATCGATGAACAAGGAGCATCTGATGCAGACGCAAAGGCGAGGATTGGCAAAGCAAGTGCCGCATTCCTTCAATTAAAGAACATATAAAACTCAAAACAACTTTCAACCAATATCAATGTCACAATCTTCAATACGAACGTCAAGGCAGTTCTACTTTACGGAGCTGAAACATGAGGAACTACAACAACCACCATCAAGTAGGTACAAGTATTTATCAATAGATGTTTACGCAAGATATTAAACATCCATTGGCTGACTACCATCAGCAACAGCCTTCTGTGGGAAAGAAGAAACCAGCTTCCAGCTGAAGAGGAAATTAGGAAAAGACGATGGGAATCGATAGGACATACCTTAAATAAATCATCAAACTGAATCACGAGGCAAACTCTAACTTGAAATCCTGAAAAAAAGTGGAAAAAAAGGAAGACCGAAGAACACGTTACATCGAGAAACAGAATCAGATAAGAAAAGGATGAATAACAACTGGAACGATCTCTGAAGGATCGCCCGGGACAGGTTTGGATGGAGAATGCTACTGAACGGTCTATACTTCTTAACGAGAAATAACAGACGTAAGTAAGCAAATAAGTAATAATAGGCAACAATAGCTACATGTTATAACATATACACAGAACCAGAGACAAGTATCATTTTAAAAACTTAACATATATGACATTAAGATGGTAAAGAATGTTTGTAGCTTAAGTGGATGATTTTGATGGAGTTTTGTTCTTTGAGCTAGATTGTTTAATCATGGAGATTTCATCATTTTTCTGAATGACATCCTCAGCACAAACTTCAACTAGAAGTAAAGTGTTCAAATTTCTCCATATGTGCATAATGCGAGGTATAATCAAAACAATAACAGGTTTAAGATCAACAAGAGCTAATCAACATTGAAGTGTATAGGACAAGCTATACATCACATGTGATGATATCATTCAGAAAAACGATGAAAACTCCACGATCAAATCATTCAACCAACAGTACTATACTTTTGAATTCAGTTAAATCCTCTCTCTAAAATGTAATGGTTTCTACTTTTTAGATCATTTGTAAACCAACTGAATTAGAATCGGATCATCTTCATGATCAAGAACTTATAGCTGGTCAAAATTATTTACGTTTACATCCAATCTCTGATACTGTATTTTTTATATTTACAAAAGGTATATTAGATTATGAAATGAATCCACGTGTTTCATTATTAATTGATTGTTATGATTTAGCTAATATAGAATCATTTGATCAAGTTCATTTCACTATACAACATATTCAACAAATGGATCCATTCATACAATCATATTCATTTCGTATAACAGTGGCTATATCTGATCAAAATGATAATGTACCTATATTTAAACAATCAAAATATTATATTACAATACCAGAACATTTACCAGATGATTCATATATTACTCAAATGAAAGCATATGATTTAGATAATGGGGAATATGGACAATTAACGTATCAATTAAATTCAATTACATTCCATTATATTGATGATTATGATGATCATGACGATCATCATCGTGATCGTGATGAAGATCTTCTAGAACATTCAAAACATTCAAAATATCCAAGCCAACATGAACAACCATTTCAAATTCATCCAATCACTGGTATTATTACAGTATTACATAATCAATTATTAGATCGTGAACTAATTGAATATTTCTATTTATTGATTTCAGCAATAGATAAAGGGAATTTAACGACTAAAACACAATTAATTATACAATTATTAGATGTGAATGATCATCTACCAATATTGCATAATCCTATCAATATTGATTTTCAAGAAAATCAAAAAATCAATACTTTTATTGATTTTATACATTTAATTGATTTAGATAAAGATTCTAAAAATTCACGTATCCATTTATTATTAAATAATAATCAATATCAATCAATCAATCATCCATCAATCAATCATCGATTAATCAATAACCAATCAATCAATAATCCATATAATAATTATATAAAAATTATACCAGATATAAATTTTCATTATAAAGAAATGAATCAAAATGAATTAATAAATGAATATGAATTAAAAGCAAAACTGATTAGCCAATTGATAATAGATCGTGAAAAAATCAATAAAATTTTTTATAAAATTATCACATATAATGATAATACTAATATCAATCTAATAAGTAGTATAACATATACATTAACTATAAATATATTAGATGAAAATGATAATATACCAATATGTATATATCCACATTATAATAGTATTATTGGTTATTATAATCAAGATCATGACCATGATCCAGATCCAGATCCAGATCCAAATCATGATCATCCAATAATGATTTATACAAATACACCAATTTATACATTTATATTACAAATAAAAGGTTATGATCCAGATCATCATTTAAATGGTACTATCTTATATCAATTAAATCAATTTACTAATGGTAGTCCATATTTTTATTTAAATGAATCTAATGGTAAATTATATACGAATTGGTTAATTGATAATTTATATGATTCATATCATATGGATACTAATCCATCATACCATCCACCTATAGATGGAATATATCATATTAAGATCTTGCTAAAAGATATGGGTATACCATCTTTATCAAATGAAACACAATTTTTTATAAAAATTCATTCATTTCATATCAATCAATCAATAATCCATAATCAATCAATCGATTTGAATCAAACATTTACATTTTGGTTATATAATCATCATCATAATCATCAATTTTTATTGATTGCATTGATTATTTCACTTATATTATTGATTATGATAATAAGTAGTATCATCATATGGATCAAATCATCTTGTAAAGAAAAATTGAGTCTTATTCATAAAACAGAATGTAATCCAATTATAATAACAACAAAGAAAGATCAATCACTAAGGAAACCATATCAGATTAATTGTTTATCAACTAATAGGAAATATCAATATTCATCGAAAATCGATAATAATAATAATACGAATAATAATAATCATAATAATCGATTAAATTGGCCAGTGACAAATATAATTCATCAATCAATAAGTGATAGACATAGATATTCTACTCATGATTCAATCAATGATAATCTAAATGTTAATACTACTACTACTGCTCATACTACTATTAATACTACTAATCAAGATCTGTATAGTTATACAAATCATTTACATACAAATCCAATCTGTTCATTCCCATTCCCATATGATACTAGTAACCATAGCAACAACAATAACAAAAATGATTATTATGATGATCATCAATCTATAAGACAAAAAGTAACTTTATCATTAGATTCATCAAATCTGAATTATTCTATATATAATAGTTCTATACATGAATCATTTATAAATGATCATTTTAATAATGATGTATATAAACAATCATTATATCATAGAACATTTGGAAATTCTATTATTTATTCAGGATATACTAATTCATATTTATCTTCTATACATGATGTTAATGATTATGATTCATGTAAGTGAAAGATTCTAGTTGTATTGATGAATTCATTGAAGATAGATAATGGTCTTGAGTATTGTTAAAGGTATGAGGGTAGTTATCACATCTAGGATACAGAAGGCTCGATTAGTTTTTGCCAGCATGCATCATTTATGGTGTAGGCGAGATATCCGTCTATCAATCAAAGGACTATTTTACTGTGCAGCAGTTGGTTTCGTTCTACGTTATGTCAGTGAAACATGGCCAGTAAGAGTAGAGGATATTTGTAGGTTACTAGTGTTCGGTCATAGATATCTTCGAAACATTTCTCGTATATCCTGCGACCACGGATCCGTAACGCAGTTGTTAGGAAACGAGTACTAGGTAGGGATGGCAAACCAACTGATGAAAAAATGAAGCTTCATCAGTTGAGATGGCTGGGACATGTGTTACGTATGCTCAACCAACGACTGCCTTGAATTGCGATGTTTTATGGTGTAGGAGTAGGTTGGAAGAAAGCTAAGAGCGACCAGACCAAAACGTGGCACAAATAATTGAAATCACTGACAAGTGGACTGAGCGATGTTTGCAGGTGTAAACTACCTGGTTCGGATCCGTGAGATGATAACAATCGATGGTTAGAGACCTTGAATGAAACACGACTAAATACCGTTTGCAATGGCGCAGTTGCATCCACTCTTTGTGTTCTCCCAAATTCCAATCTTCTGAATTCTTCATGTCCCTTGTTTTTCCTCTTTACAAATTTACTTCACTGGATTATATTCCTTGAATAAAATCTCCAAACCCTTATGTTTCGAATTACTGCTTATACTCTTAATGCCTCTACCATTGTGGGATTTGAATAGATAACTGCATCACTGTGTTAATGTGGTATGACAACTAGAACTGATGTACGTACGTACGAAGTTCTACGTTGTTACTGACTGACGGACTGACAACGTGGAAAGGTTCTTCTGGAGGTACCTGAAAAAGAGCCTGTATGAGAGGTGGATCTACTGAGCTGAAAGAGTGACCGCAGTGCTTACGGGATAACACACGACATTTTTGTCATTAATTTTTGTGTTAGCTCCGTTCTTGTTGAATCCCTATCACAGGAGATAGATACCCGATGGACAAGGCAAGGTGTGCATTTTTAGGATCGATCTTTTCTGGTCACACCCTTCCTTCTGGGAAGGCAGCATCTCTGTTATGCTGGTTGTCTTCGGTATGACTTCCCTATCGGACCTTGAGTTTGCCGCTTTTAGTCTGACCGCTCTTCATTTGACCTGCCTGTCTAGCATGGTATGATCTCAAAAAACGATTGTTTCAGCCAGTAAAACCCGATTGGTTCATTCCGATAGATAAGACTAACCACCACGTCAAGACAACCTGGAAACACTGAACGATTGTTTCGTCTTAGTATGGAACTCCTGATGCCGCCCAGCGAGATTCGAATCCAAGACTTGTCGGTCTCACGCTAGCGGACGCTTAAACTCTAGACCAATGAGACGGCTGGCATCCAATGGTGGTAATGCCCAAGTTGAAGTAATACACAATATTACGCCACCGTCCACCATTGGCCTCACAACAGACGCGATTGAACTCCTCACAGGGTTACTAACTCACAAAAGACCCTGTTGCACTCCATTAGTTATGACTTCTCATTAGAAGCTCAAGAAATACATTAAGAAGTCGCATACTAGGATGAAATGGTCTTTTAGTGCTTTCAGGCTTTCCATGATAGTCTAGCTTCAAATGATTCATGAATTTAACTATTGAAATAACAATAAAATTTACAACACACCTCTCTGATTATGGTATTTATTGAAAGTAGACTGATAAGTCCAACATTTACAGAATTATGTTTTCGATTTAAGCAAAGTGGCTAGCAGTAAAATCCAGGACGCGCGTTTCGTCCCATTTAGGACTCGTCAGCTGGATGTACCTGTACCCCAGTGTTGATGTGCACTCCGGTAGTCGAACCCAGAACCATCCGATTCAAACGTCATCGCGTTATCCACTAAGTTACTGATTTTTGATATCCATCTGCTTGTGTGATGGTGTGAATTCATGTTTCTGAATGGTTGTAGAGTTGAACAGACAGATGGTAAATTAGACAGGGGCTTAATATTCCTCGAATTGTATTTCCACTTTTGGTGCTCAAATGTAAATATGCTTTTTTGTTGGTAGCCGTTATTAATGTCAACCTTTTTTCACCCCGTTTGAATGACTGATTTGTAAACATGTTTTGTATAAGTTGATTGTGTTCAATTAATTAGTTGTAAAGTTTAATTCACTTTTGAGATTATCTTCTCCATGGATTAAACTTTAGCTGTATGTCTATGTACAGCTGAAAGTCTCATATGAGGCAGGAGGTTCGGCATTGCTTTGGCAAGTTTTCCCGACTGATCATACACAAAATTGGTTTGTTCGTTAACCGATTTCATTCATACCGGTGGCTGCTTTTCAATGTTAGATGGTGGTTGGAGGTAGTCGACAGGAAACCCTGGACCCGGGTTTCGTGCTACTTGGCACTCGTCAGCAAGGTGTACCTGTAATCTTTGAGGGAACTGGTGCTCCCTGGCGGATTCGATCCCGTGTCACCCAGCTTCACAGTCAGAGACGTTACCACTGAGCTATCCGGGCCGCGACCAACCTCCTGTAGGACTGACATGTAATCACAATTGATTGATCACTGGGTGACCAATGTCATGCGTGTCTAGTCCTTATTATCAGTGCAGATCGAATGCTATCGATCATGTTGCAATGTGGCCACCAGTCTAGGTGACTGGACACCGCGGGCACTGATAATAAGGACTAGACACGCATGACATTGGTCACCCAGTGATCAATCAATTGTGATTACATGTCAGTCCTACAGGAGGTCGGTCGCGGCCCGGATAGCTCAGTGGTAACGTCTGTGACTGTGAAGCTGGGTGACACGGGATCGAATCCGCCAGGGAGCACCAGTTCCCTCAAAGATTACAGGTACACCTTGCTGACGAGTGCCGAGTAGCACGAAACCCGGGTCCACGGTTTCCTGTCGACCACCTCCAACCACCATCTAATCTTACAATAGTGCCCGCGGTGTCCAGTCACCTAGACTGGTGGCCACATTGCAACATGATCGATAGCATTCGATCTGCACTGATAATAAGGACTAGACACGCATGACATTGGTCACCCAGTGATCAATCAATTGTGATTACATGTCAGTCCTACAGGAGGTCGGTCGCGGCCCGGATAGCTCAGTGGTAACGTCTGTGACTGTGAAGCTGGGTGACACGGGATCGAATCCGCCAGGGAGCACCAGTTCCCTCAAAGATTACAGGTACACCTTGCTGACGAGTGCCGAGTAGCACGAAACCCGGGTCCACGGTTTCCTGTCGACCACCTCCAACCACCATCTAATCTTACAATAGTGCCCGCGGTGTCCAGTCACCTAGACTGGTGGCCACATTGCAACATGATCGATAGCATTCGATCTGCACTGATAATAAGGACTAGACACGCATGACATTGGTCACCCAGTGATCAATCAATTGTGATTACATGTCAGTCCTACAGGAGGTCGGTCGCGGCCCGGATAGCTCAGTGGTAACGTCTGTGACTGTGAAGCTGGGTGACACGGGATCGAATCCGCCAGGGAGCACCAGTTCCCTCAAAGATTACAGGTACACCTTGCTGACGAGTGCCGAGTAGCACGAAACCCGGGTCCCCGGTTTCCTGTCGACCACCTCCAACCACCATCTAATCTTACAATAGTGCCCGCAGTGTCCAGTCACCTAGACTGGTGGCCACATTGCAACATGATCGATAGCATTCGATCTGCACTAATAATAAGGACTAGACACGCATGACATTGGTCACCCAGTGATCAATCAATTGTGCTTTTCAATGTTCCCAAGAGCCATTGTCATTGAGACATTGCATGGTACACCATCCTTGGTAACATTAATGAGTTTGATTGTCGTGTAAGCGGAATAGGTCAACTTTGGCCGGTTCGTGCCGTGAATAATTGATTCACGCGATCATTGATTGGAATAACTATACACGTGATATGAATACATATTTGAATGATGCTAAAGGTTCACCAGGGTGCTTGATACCTGTGCGGTTGCGCAACAGGATTGAGGGAGAGTGTTAAGTTTATTCAATAAACAATTCATATCGTTCTTTGTTTCACAGATACCTAAGATATAGTTTATATATCTCTTATAAAGTGACATGTTTTCAATTAGGTCGTCAGCCCGTTTTTCAATATTTCCTATGAACACATCTGCTAATAATGGTCCCAACAGACTACCCATAGCAACCCTATCAAACTGGTGAAAGTATTCACCTTCAAATGTGCACTGAACTTTGTCAGTACATATAGTAGTAAATCTTTAAGAATTTTTATAGGAACAAATAATTTAAGGTTGTTTAAGGATATATAGTCACATAATATATCAATCGCCGGTGAGACCTTTGAGCAACGCTAAAGTCACCTTGAGAGTGTTCACCTAATGACCAGAACCAAATGAGGGTTATAAACCAGTGTGAGGAATTAGAATTATGATTTACAATAGATGATTAAGGTAAAGTAATGGATTTAGGATTTTCATCACGAACTGACATCAGCTATAGTGCCAAAACTCTATTTGGTAAAATGGATGAATGCATTTCACGCCAAAATCCAAGACCCGTTATCTTATACCTGATTTGTTCGTCTATAATTTATAGTCTTACCCAATAATCTTCGTCAGAGGTATATTTTTGAACAAGGAATTTCACGTCATATGAACATATTGTCTATTATTTGATATTATTATCGTCTAAATGATCAACCAATTGAAAAGAACCCTTCAGAGAATACTTACATAAACGTCCTGGAATAGGATTCAGCAACTCTGTTAGCCACTTAGATCTCATGTAAGACTGAGCTGTATTTGCAATTGATCGATCACTGGGTGGTAATCAGTGTCAAGTGTATCAGGTAAACCTTACTGACAAGTGCCAAATGAAACAAAATTTGGGTCCAGGTTTTCCTGTTGGCTACTTC